CGAGTGGTGGACGGTGGTGACCGAGATGGAAGAGAGCTGGATGTGCTCTTGGTCGTGGTCAGGGCGCCGGGATAAGGCATCTACGACCCGATTAGTTTCACCCTTGATGTGCTCAGTGGTGAAACTAAACTCGGATAGGTCGCGCCACCAGCGAGCCTATCGAGGAGTGAGCTTCGGTTTTGTCAGAAAAGCCTGGACAACAGAGTTGTCTGTACGCACCGTGAACGGTGCCCCGTGCAGGTAGTGACGCCAGTGCCGAGTGGCATAAACTACTGCGAGAACCTCACGTTCATCAGCGGTGTAGTTTATCTCGACAGGCAGGAGCTGACGGGAGTAGAAGGCTACCGGACAATCACTGGAGCGAGACTCGACAGTGCCGTCCTCGGCGATGGTAGGAGAATAGTCAATAGAAGGCTCGTCAGTAGCTGGACGAGTAGGCGTCAGTCGGGAAGCAGTGGTAGGGGTAGGTGGTGGGAAGCGAGGGATACGAGGATGAGAGGAATCAGGAGAGAAGGGGAAGACCTGAGAAAGCACTGCTCCTACAGCGAAGTCTGACGCATCGGTGGTAAGGATAAACGGGCGGTCAAAATCGGGTAGGTGAAGAACGGGTGCGCATGTCACCGCCTTCTTGAGGGCGCGGAAGGCGTCCTCGTGGAGGGGTGTCCAAGCCCAGGGTGGGTTATTCCGGAGGAGGGTGGAGGTAAGGACGTAGGAATACCTAGCGTATCCTCGGATGAAGTTACTATAGTAGCTGGTCAGGCCTAGGAAGCTGCGAAGCTGCTTGGCGGATGTGGGGGCGGGCCACTCCGCAATAGCAGTGATCTTCGCGTCGTCCATGTACAGACCCTGGTCAGACACGTAGTGTCCTAAGAAATCCACTTTGTGCTGGGCAAAGCAGCACTTGCTCAGCTTGGCGTAGAAGCCATGTCTGCGCAAGCGGTCAAGGACGTCGCGGAGGTGTCTGAGGTGCTCCTCGAGGGTACGACTGTAGACTAGGATATCGTCGAGGTAGACGAGAACGTACTGCTCCAGGATGTCCCTGAAGATGTCGTTCATCGCCCTCTGGAAGGTGGCGGGTGCATTGGTGAGGCCGAATGGCATCACCATAAACTCGTAGTGGCCGAAGCGCGATCGGAACGCTGTCTTCGGCTGGTCGGCTGCAGCGACGCGGATCTGGTGGTAACCGCTACGAAGATCAATCTTCGTAAAGAAGCGGTTGCCTGCTAGGCGGTCGAACAGCTCATCGGAACGAGGCATGGTGTAGCTGTTCTTAACCGTGTAGCGGTTGAAACCGCGATAGTCGATGCAGAGACGGAGAGTTCCATCCGCTTTGCGAGCAAAGAGGACGGGTACTGGGAGTTGCAGGGTTTAATGAAACCCAGTCTCAGGAGCTCCTCAAGCTGACGCTTGAGTTCGGTGGCCTCGGGAATCGAGAGTCGGTAGGGTGCCTGGTGTTGAACACGATAGTCAGGCACAAGCTGAATGGAGTGCTCGACGTCACGCATCGGTGGGATGCCGGCGTACGAGAAGGACGATGGAAAAACGTCGTGGTACTCTCGGATGAGGTCACGAACTGCGGGCTCCAGGTCAGCCGTATATCGTGCGAGTTCCTCAGCGTCGGCGTCAGCGCCCGACGGCGGGGTGGACTCGACGGATGGCGGAGGGACGGAAGTAGAGATGGGAGCCATGGAGATAGAGGGAGGATCTGGCTCCAGAGGGATGAGTTCGGCGTCGGGACAGGGTGGATCATAGTGTAAGAGATCCGTCACGTCCACCATAAAGAATGTGACGTCCTCCTGTGAGCGAACTGCCGAGGCGAGGTGAAAGTGATAGAGGGGGATGGTGTGGGCACTGACGGCTCCGGGGGAGGAGGATCGGGGCGTGKTRTCGCCGTGGTACCTATGAAAGGTACGCGATACGTCTGTCCACACTTCGTTTTGAGAACGAGAGTGTTGGTCGCCCAATCGGCCTCGGTGTTGCGAAACCGACGAGACCACGGAGTGCCGGGAATGTAGTCGTACCCCGTCTCCATCACATCGAAATGTGCAGAGGAGCGGTGGCGACGAGACGCCGGGGAAGGATCAGTCGGCTCGAGAGTGAGGAAGAAGGGGAGGTCGGTGACCGTCTGATCGAAGAAGCGCTGGGTCTTGTCATCCTCTAGGGTAACGGAGATGGGAGTCGGAGACCCTGTCATAGGTAAGCGGGCTTCCTTCACCACGCGTGGGTGAATGAAGCCGCCCTGAGAACCGGAATCCCACAGCGATGAGTACACCCTCGTGGAGGTCCCGAGTCGTACTGGGATGATCGGGAGGGTGCGATCAGGGTCAGAGAGGAGGGCGAAAAGGCGACGCAGTGCAGCGACATGGAGGGTGAGTCGCTCCTGACGAGCCTGGAGCATGCTCAAGTCCAGAAGAGAGGACACAACGTCCTCGCGAGTAGCAAGCTGCTCGCTGCAACGGG